TTACATAATAAAGTAGCTGCGGAACTACGTTGCACCAAAATCAAGAATGAGCCAGTATTATCCGAAATGGTTCTGTAATTGCGAACATCAATGAATTTGGATCTAAACGAATGCTACAATTCAGTGCATTCACTTAAATCCAAAAGCATCAAAAAAGATTTGTTCTTGAGATATTAGCATTATAGGATCGCCGATTTCTCAATGAATGCGTCATCAAATAATGCAATATCTCAAGAACGAATATGCCTTTTTAATGATTTTGGACCTAAATGAACACTTCAAAATCTTAGCGTTAGCATACATTTAAGCCAAATCATGAATTACTTTACATGATGATTGATGATCGTTTTCTTTTGTAAATTCGAGTTTTGTCGTCCTTTTCAGTTTCGCCACATCGTCAGTTTTGCCAATTTTCGTCATTTAAGGTTTTATTTGACGAAAGATGAAACTAGGTTTCGCCAACCTCCGGGTTTCGTTTAACAACTATAATCTGGATTGCCTACAGCAGCTGCGGGGAAACACACAACTCCCTGCACCGCCTATGGCTAATTGTCAACCACGAGATCCTTGCACTGTCAATAACAGCCAGAGCCTATCAGCACTTTACTAAACAAATGCCAATATATCCCTTAGATAAACTCTTAGTTTCGAGTTACATAGAGACGGAATGGGATGATAAAGCCAGCCTTCATTACAAGGCAAGTGATTGCTCTACTTACCAAAGGCCCTTAAATGCGCTACTAATTACATAAACTCTCAAACCGATGGAGGTTATCAGATTTGAAACATTATAAACAATTAGATTTATATACCGGAAACGGACTTGGAAGATTAATATTTTATCAGATTTGACAGATTATCGATTTTGACAGGATCGGTTTGGTGAAGTTCAACAGTACCATTCACAAACACCATCCAACTAATTTGCACAATAAACTGAACAAAGTCCTTCACCGATCTCTTCAAAGTTGCCTAGCCTATTAAATGAAAATTCCAATTCGAAACTGTTTCATGTAATCGTCAACCTCTTAACATCTCGCCCACCTTTAGATCATTTCTATTAACTAAATTATAACAAATGATTATGTGATGGTAAGTAAATATTTATGATAGATTTGAATACATAACGATAAAGGTAAATTCGCTTTACATTAAACACGGATTTCACCATAATATGAATCACATATGTACGCATGTAGATTATATTTTTTTAATCAGCCAATAAATTCTTGGTCATCGAACCTTATTTTTATTTGTGCTTATATTTGAAGAAACTTTTTTACTTTTTTTTTAAAAGATTTGTTGGTTGGCAAGAACAATATTCGCCATAAATTTCGTAAAGAATAAATACACCAAACATACTGGATATGCGTTCAAGTGAAAATTTTAAATGTGTCGGCATTGTAGTACGTATCGTTTAGAATGCTATCATTATGTATTGAAATTTTCTATCTATTTCACTTTTACTAAATGCATTTATAATATTTTATTATCTATATTATATTATCTTAAAACTAGCTAATTAAATAATATATAATACGTATTCCAAATAAAAATACTCTACACCTTTAAAAATCTTTTTAAATCTTAATTCTAACTATCCAATATAAAAAATTTGTGCTAAAAATTTTATATACTGTACAAAACTTAAAAATATATAAAAACATATAATACTGTAAATACAAAACCACTATAAGTCTGTTTATAAAATTAATTTTTTTTTACAAATTAAAAAATTTATTAATTAAAAAATTCTACGTACGTATTTCGAAAACCTAACAAAGGTTACATGTTAAAATTAACCAAATTTTGAAAATTATCTACATTTAATTGGTTAAAGCTTTTAGCCAATCAAAATTCAATAAAAAAATCAGAAATTTCAATGTAACCTCTGTTACGTAGTATTATTCGGGGGTCCTTCGTAACTATTAAGGGTCCTTTAGTAACCAGTCAAATTAATCTTAGAGTTGAAATTGACCAGGGTAAGATCGCCACCCGAAAAAAAATTGAATATATGGGTGACAAGGGAAAATGGGGCGTCTTCCCTTGGCGTCACTCAATTTATAATAACAATAAATGATATTTTAAATAGAACTCAAAATGAAGGACGAACCTATAATCGCAAATTTGACCAAAGATTGTGTTCAAATTTCATAAATAAAACGTACAAGAACAAATCAAGAAAAAATAAAATAAAAAATTATAACTTGGTGCAACAAAAAACATCGTTGAAGGAATATAGAAATCCAAATGGCGTGATGGTATCAAAACTAATTGCGTCAATTCCGGATTATAATACTTTACATTTTAGGAAACAGTTTCTTATTGCATAACTTAGAAAATCTTATTTCATTCTATAAAAGAACGATTTAATACTTTCGTTTAAATTGTACGCATCATCTTATAACGATAATCATGTAATTTTTTTGGGTGGCAATTTTATCCCGGTCGTTGAATTTGGATTTAGTTCCAAGATTTTTTTTTCGTGTCCCTGATAATCGTCATATCAAATTATCAGATATAACTAAATTAGACATTCGTGTGACTTGAACATAGAACTTCACATGACATATCATCTCGTGTAACGTGAGATGGTAGTTCAACTTTCCCAATTAGAGTCGACCAATCCAACAGTAATTAACGTTGTTCGGTCAACCCCAATAAATGCCTAAACTTATTATGGCAAATTAGATAATGATTGGTTCTGGTTCATTATCCGTAGGACAAGAATATGTGCATCATAGAAAGGAAACAAGTGACTTAAAGAAAACCAACAATGCAGTATGTCTCGCTTTGTTTATTATGACAATGAATAAGAGAGATCGAAATTCAATGAAATTCAGTCGGATACAAAACGTCTTTTTATTCTAATTTTGGCATCTTCTAAATGTTATTCGATTATGTCACATTTATTAGTTGGTGATGCCACGCTGCCCCGTGGTGACGCAAACCGTTATCATTTAAAAATCGGCCCTGGCTACAATTTGCGCAACATACTAAAGTCACAAAATTCTAGTACTACAAAATTCCTCAAGGTAGAAATTTTTTTTGTATCTTGGTCAAACTACTAGTTAGTGTACTCGTCGTCACTTGCTCCGGCCTGCTCCAGTGTTCCTGTTTACCGCTGTCGCATCTGCTCGCCTTGCCTAAAACCTACTCCTCCAAAAACTAAAAGAGAACTCCTTTGTTCTTCCACCACACATTCATAAAATGATGGTTAACGTAAGTTTGTTTTCTTAACTGCCGTGACGTACTGTATATACTGAATTCAAAGATGATTTCATGTGATCGGCGACTGGATGGCACGAAATTGTTTGAATTCTGCCAAAGAATGTGAAAAGACTTCACTTTGTCCCCTTCACATGAGACAACGCTTCATTATTGGCTTAAGGTTTGCTTTTCATACTTTTCTAACCATGGTTTACTTTTCCTTTTTTTCAGGAACGCGAAAACCAGGTATTTAACCGCGTAAAGCCTTAAATATCAATTACTCTTTGTTTTGTATGTTTGATAACTTGTCTAGGAATATGTAACAAAAAATTGTTCAATTTTTACTTGATGCTGACCTCCAACAAAAAGGTTTACATGGCTAAGCTCGCTGAGCAAGCCGAACGTTACGATGGTAATATTCTCTTACTAAATCGGTTATATTTGCGCTTTGTTTATATTATGATTTTACTAAAAGATCTTATCGGTTCCCCTAAACGTTATTCACATTTGGAATTTGATCAGAAATGGTTTCCTACATGAAAGTATGTATTTTTATAGTATAATAAATTTTATAGTAATGAATTTTTTTTTTTTTTTTACGTTAATCTAATTTTATATTTTCCGAATTTATAGGATGTTGCTAAGGTAAAAAAAATTATTTCTATTTATTTCGTATATTATTTTTCATCGCAATTTTCTCATATATACATTTATTATCTGTTATAATATTCTTTATGTGTAACCATCGGTAATGATACATAGCTTGGGGTAGAACTTACTGTTGAAGAGCGCAACCTTCTTTCAGTGGCTTACAAGAATGTCATTGGTGCCCGCCGAGCATCTTGGAGGATTATTTCATCTATTGAACAAAAAGAAGAGAACAAAGGCAATGAAACCCAAGTTCAAAAGATTAAAGCATACCGCCAAAAAGTCGAGACCGAACTTTCTGAAGTCTGTTCGGACATCCTTGCTGTGTTAGATGAACATTTGATTCCATCTGCCGAAGCCGGTGAATCCAAGGTCTTTTACTACAAAATGTGAGTTCAATTACCTATTCTAATTGTTTTCTGTCGCTCTTATTATTTCCTAGAACGCATTCTTCATTAAGTGCTAGTCAACATTACAATTGATGACAAGGTTCATAATCTAAATGGTTACGATCAATGAAATATTTTTAATCGATTTGCGGAATATCTTAGTATTATTTAGAAAATAACCCTTCGGATTCATTTTTATATCATGTTTCCCATCGTACATTTATGAACTAATATTCTTTAACCTTCACTTCTGATAACAGGAAAGGTGATTATCATCGATACCTTGCAGAGTTCGCCTCCGGCGAGAGGCGAAAAGAAGCTGCTACTCAAGCGCATGAAGCTTATAAACACGCAACTGATATTGCTCAGACCGATCTTGCTCCTACCCACCCAATCCGTCTCGGACTTGCTCTAAATTTTTCTGTCTTCTATTACGAAATTCTCAATTCGCCCCGATCGTGCTTGTCATCTTGCCAAGCAAGCATTCGATGATGCAATTGCTGAGCTTGATACTCTAAGTGAAGAATCGTACAAGGACAGTACGTTGATCATGCAATTGTTGAGAGATAACTTAACTCTTTGGACTTCTGATTTACAAGATGGTTAGTACTATTTTTAGTCATAATTATAGTTGTTTACTTATTAAATTTTAACTGTAATTGCTTCCTCAAATTAGAAGGAGAGAAACCAGAAGAAGCTAAGCAAGAAGTCGAAACTGAAGATCCTAAGTAACATTAGTATTATAAATAATATTTTTATACACTTCATTATAAAGTCAAGCCCATCATGTTTACATTGGCAAAGTTTTTTTCTTATTTGTTCATTTGCAAGTATATTTTCCCTTGAATGTTGCTTCTTTGATGATTTTTACATTTTGCATAATGAGATTTCCATTCCGGGTGTTCTGTTTATTCAGAGGGTGTGTTGTGTTGGTATGGTAGTCTTTAAAGGAGTCCTTTTTATTGTTTGTTGTCCCCTACTCTCCCTATTATACGTTTTTCATCTTCGATTATAAATAATACATACCACCTTTTTTAAATGCAAGAAAGAGAAATGATGATCCAAAAAAAAACAAAAAAAAAACAAGAATTCATATTGTTTGTTTAAGCAACACAAGAAATTATTGTGATTGATAAATTCAATTGTAGGGCACGGTAAAGGGAATTATGTTGTGTATAATGAATGATTTCGAATGTTTTATAGTTTATACCTTATCATCCTCTCAATAATCACTCTATGCGTGATATTTTATTTATTAATTTAAAAGCTTGGCATCAGTTATTTAATAGCTGAATTTTGTTTGCTTCATTTGTTAGATTTACATAATTTACATACATAATTTATTTGAAACGTAAGTATATAATTAAAGGCGTTTTTTAATAATTGAATTAAATCTGAGTTAGGATTTAAAAAAAGTGCATTTCATTATTTCAATATATTAACAAAAATAGTCACATATTTTGTACATTTTAATTTTAACTCGTAGAATTGGCCCTTGCATATAACTTGAATTACGTATAAATTTTTAATTTAAAACTTAATAAAATGCATACGTACAATACGTAGTGTACGTATATATATATATATATATATATATATATATTTATTTATTATATTTATTTTATTTATTTATTTATTTTTCTTTTTAATACGTAGTAAATGTAGGTCGTATAGCAAGTGTTATACGCCAAATAAGTTTATTTGTTATAAAGTAAAAGAAAATAAATCCGTTATTGGATGCGGTGCATCCAATAACAGCGTATCTGGCTTTGAATTTAATGTGCTTGCAACCTGAGCCCCTTCGGGCAGCCACTTATTTGCGCGGGTAATACAAACATACATCTAAAAAGGAAATGGCCAATCAGAGAACAGAAATGTTGGGTATTCCGACCATAGAATCCGAGCATGTGCGAAAGAAGAAAAAAAGAAAAGAAAGCGAAAATACTCAAAAATTAGTGTTTAAATCGACTTTGGTGGACTAATAAAAAATAACGGGAATGAAATTTTACATATAAAGGAAAGTCAATAGAAAAGGGACAAATCATTTTTAATGAAATTTTTTTTAATTTTTAAATTAAACTATCTCAACAACTATTTAATTAAATTTGCTAAAAAAATTTTTATTTTAATCTTGAAAATATATAAAATTAAAATAAAAAAAATTCATTAAATTTAATAAGATAATTGTTAAGATATTTAAGCTTAAAGTCAAGAAAATTTTTACTTAGAAAAAATTTGTTTCTTTTCTATTAACTCACCCTCATATAATAAAGTTTAACTTATCACTGAAACTTACAATCCTAATATCCTAATTCTAAACTTTTACTTTTACTATAAAATTTAATTTTCTTTTTGGTTTGCAAATAAGTAAAATCTCTCTTTGCAGGGTTCAGATTAGTATATTAAATTTAAAGTTAAATATTGTATTTCTTTTATTTGTTATACTACATATTCAATAACTATTTAATATATTTACTGTATATAGTATACAGTTAGACCTCTCTAAATACAACCTTCCTAAATATATCTATATAAAATCTCTCTAAATATATGCTTTTTTTTTTGGTCCAACTTAATATAACATATAAATTTTTACTTTTTTAAATATATAACCTTTTTAAATACATGTTTTTAAAAATTTTTACTATAGTCCCAATACTATACATTTAGAAAAATCAAACTGTATATATTATTATTATTATTTTTCAACAGTCATGTTTTTATTTATTTAGACCACTATTTGATAATATAAAGTACAAAGCCTTTATAGTATACTGTTCTAATCTAAAAAAATTTACAAAGCACTATATCTTTTTTTTTTTTTTTTATAAATTCGGCAGTCATGCCTTAACTTTATTAGACTTTGTACAAATCTTCTAGACTTGTAAAATTTTACACTAAGTTGCATTTCAGAAGGTAAGTAATAAACTCTTAACTTGTCGGCAAATAGCATATAAGAACTATCTCTAAATGACAAGCACTATAGCATTAAATCTAATGTTTATCTAAATTACAAGTTAAAACTAACCCGGTTATCCTAATTAGTACCTATGTTTGACCTGCTATAGCAAGATTTTCTTCTTTCCGAACCCCTCCTGCAATTGAATATGACCCGGCTCTCAACAGTGGATCTTGCCGCCGTAATGATTACCTCCTCTTCTTTCAGACTTCTTTCACCTAAGCCCAACAACATAATTAAACCCTTATTCATATATAAAAGTAAAAAAAATA